ACTCAAGGGGACAATTTTTTGAATATTTAAAATTTGTGGAGTCGGAATCGGAGTTGCGGAGTTGCAACAGTCGGAGTCGGAGTCGGAGTCGCTAAACAAAATCGCGACTCCGACTCCAATAGTAAAACTTCTCGGTATTGCACGTGCATGTACAAAAAATTCAATTAACCTATTATTATTATTATTATTATTATTATTGCTATTATTATTATTATTATTATTGCTATTATTATTATTATTATTATTATTATTATTATTATTATTATTATTATTATTATTATTATTATTATTATATACTTTTATTTTGCTGATTAAACAGTTACAATAACAATTTTTATATAATCATGTAAAAAATACATAAAATACACGTCGTAAAGATAAACATGATAAAAAACGTTTTTTCATAATTTTTATTATTTTATATTATGTATATTCTGTTCTAATCAGTCAGGGACTCAAAGAAGGTCAGGTTGATGTGTTTAACATCACATGTTAAACACATCAACCTTATGTTCATACTAAACTTCAAAGAACGTTTCATAAGTTTGTTAAAAAAAATTTTTTTTTCTTATTGGGTAATATTTTTTAAAGAATTCAAAGAATTTTTCAAAAATTTTGCTATGGAGTCGGAGTTGGAGTCGGAGTTGTAGTTAAAAAATTTCAACAACTGCAGTCGGAGTCGTTACTTTTTTTTTACGACTCCACACCCCTGATTTAAACTTTGCAGAGTTTAAATTTAAATTTTAATTTGAATTAAATTTAAATTTTTTATTTAAATATTTTGATTTTAATTTGAAAAATCTTTTTAGTTTTAGTAATTTATCTGGAAAGTAAATTTAAATCGTTACCATAAAATGAGGTGAGTTTAAAATCATTTTTTTTTAGGAAAGATTTTGATATAAATTGTATTAGATGTGCATAATGTCTTAAAAATAATCAGTTCAAACAAATAAAAAATTAAAGCACTATATCCTTGGCTCTTTTATTCTATTTTTAACGGAGAGTCAATGTCACACCTATAGTTAACTTTGACCACCTAAAAGCAAATTTTACTTATTGAATAACTGCTTCATACTTTACATATTTACAGATGCATACGAATCTGTATCATTTTAAATAATTTTTGCCTTTAATACATATCACTTAATATCCATATGAATATTAAGTGATAAGTTTTAAAGGCCTTAAACATATCACTTAATATCCATATCAAGTGATATGTTTTAAAGACAAAAATATTAAAAATAACAGCTTGAAACTAACTTACAAATTTGTTAAAGCTATATTTATAGCTTTTATAAATGAAGCAAAAGAAGACAATAAAATCTTATTAATATCTAAAACACAAAAAACCTATGCATCAATCATCAATCTATTAATGCAAGAGTTTAGTCAATAGATTATCTGTTATTATTTGCTGTTTAGATTAGATAACTTGTTTTTTTTCTCACAAAATTCAATTTTTTACTTTGTTTTATTCATATTTAAAACTGTTTGCATATTAACGAGATCAATTAATCATGTAGTTAACATGCAACCGGCAACCGACAATTTTTTCATAAACATTTCAAGTTTAACTATGGAATATACCTAAGTAATTAACATATAAAAAGAATCAATAGAATGTAGTTGAATTACGGTATATAGTAGAATGTTATATTACTATAGTTTAGAGTTCAGCGCCCGTCCTAGATTTTGGAAGCCTCGGTTCAACTCAAATATTTTAGACCCTGTAATATGTCTTACAAATGGAATTATCCCTCATTTTTCAAGAATTGTGTAATTTTAATGTGCAATATTTATTAGACCTAAACAACATACTATATAAATTTTGAAATAAAAATTTGTAAAACATGTGTAGTTTATGAGGAAATTAAAATTAATAAAATTAATAGTTTCTCACAAAGAACCATATCGTTAATGTTAATGCATACACCTACTTGTGGTTTTCCAGAGCTATAAATCCTTTGGCTTCTGCAAACTTTTTAATGATTTCTGTTAAATTAATGTGTACCTGGTAATTTTACTTTCAATGGAAGTTAAAGAGAATTTTTTAAAAGACACAATAAATCTCTAAAAACTTTAAATATTTTCATTCTTTGACGTTCTTTAGGATCTTGAATCGAGTCATCTTTACTTTTGTTAGAAAATAATTTTTTTTTTTATTATGCGGTTTTAAGGAGTGAGTGTTTGTGAACTATGGTTCTACGTCTAGTTTACTACTTAGCATCATAACGTCTGTAATACAATTGTAGAAGCCATTATCACAAATGTTTCTACGAAGTTTTAGTGTTAATTCAGATGTCATTTTTAAATATGAATCTGTTGCCTCAAACATTTTATTAACTACGTTAACACATAAAAATCTCACATCAAACAACTAGTGAAACTTAAAAAAAAAAACTTTTCAGATGTTTTCTAACTATTTCAAACTCATTTCACGAATCAGCAGAAATAGTGTCCTTGTTAATAATTTCATCTAAAGCGTCAAATACTATATAATATAAATAATATCTCCTGCATGGCAATGTAAAGCTTTCATATCGTTTAAATATTGTTACCACCTAGTGTCTAAGAGTGACCAATGAAGGAGTTGTAAATTTTACATGATCATACGTTTAAACACGTTAAGAAAAATAAATGAAATTTAATTTCTGATAGTAAATTAGAATTTTAAATTAACTCCTTGCTCTCAGATTTGGGCAAGCGGCGATAAACCTGTTGGATTATTTTTGTTCAAAGGCTTCAATCACCTTATTTTTTATTCAAATATTCTCAATATTTGGGGTTTTAACAATGTCTGAAACTGTCATGTCTAAAACATCGAAAATTTTGGAACGCCACTGTTTACAGATGTGTAGAATACAATTTGCAAAACGAAGACCCTGCATCAATAAAAAAACAATTATTTCAAAAGGTGCGGCTACCTCTTTCACTAAAAAACAGCAAACTTAGGATTAATTTATACTGAGACCACCATGTAAGCAAATATTTATTAGTTTTCTAGCTCCATTAAAGTTAAAACCCTATATTATTCTTCAATTTTTTTTCATATTTTGGCCCTACTTTCACATGTACATTCGAACTTTTTTTTTTCTTTCTAAAACTAGATTTTTTAACTAAAATTTAATCTAAAACTAGTCTCACAGAGCTTTCCGTAAATGTATATATGTCTGGGAAAATATAAAAATTAGTTCTATATAAATTGGTCGAAACATTACCCATAACATTTTTCTTACACTACACGCATTTTTCTTACTACGCGCGTAGTAGCAAAAGCTTGTTGTTGATTAAAAGATTAAACTTTGTACTTAAATTGCTCATTAATGATATTTTAATTATATATGATACACCTAAATAGCTCAATAATGTTATTTTAATATATTCATATGTGATAGTTTTTAAATCCATCTTATAAAAAACCAAATGAAAATTAACAAAAAAAAAAATTAACTTTAGTCACTCTGCGCCTCATTGTGCGGCCTAGCGTTTTTAAATTATTGCGAAAATTTTAGCCCGGTCAAATCACTTCGCGTTAAAATAAAAACAGTGATATATATAGAGGAGAAGAGGGCCGCTTTGAAGAGCTCATGCTTTGAAAAATAAAGATTACAAAACTCGATGTAAAATCATGAAATTAACTACTCTTGAAGACAGACGGAAAAGAGGTGATCTTTTTCAAAAATATAAGCTTCTCAACAATTTAAATCTAATTGATTGGCACGTAATGCCTGGCACAATAGCACCCAGAGCTCAACATCGAATCAAATTTCATCGCGAGATTGTCAGGAACTGCGAAATCAGACATAAGTTTTTTAACAACCGTGTAGTCAATGACTGGAATGCTTTGCCAGATAATATCAATGAGGCAACATCACTTGATAAATTTAAACAAGTACTAGACAGTTTTCAGTCATCATAGTTGCTACAACTCATCATTTACCGTAAATGCCACACAAAAGTGTCCGAAATACGAGTTGGGTATAGATGCGTATACTCAGCTGATGATGAGTTTAACAAGGCTGTGGTTTTGTGTAACTTAAATAACTAACTAACTAAAGTAGTCTATCAATATCTTCTACTGACCTTTATTAAATACTTATGAAACAGGATACTTAGTTGTAAACCCCGGCTTGGCTTAAGATAATAAATTATTTAATAATTTATTATCCAAGAACAAGCCAGGGTTTACAACAAAGCATACTGTTTCATAAGTATTTAATAAAGATGAGAAAAAAGATGTTAAAAAGCTAAATTTTTTTTACATAAATACAAGCAAGGAGTTAGCATTTCAATATGCTATAAAAGTTAGCCAATGTCCGTTTAAATGGAAAGTAAATAAACAAGCTGGTATAGGGCTTAATAAAACATCACAACGATCTTCGTGAGCCTATAAATAAAAGTTTGTCTCGTTCAGCAAGTTTGAATCAGCACAATATAAATCAATTTTTCGACAACTTTAAAAGGTTAAAAAAAGCAGATTGGTTGTACTACCATCGCCAATTGTTATAGCACCATGTGGAATAAAACAAGTGAGACAGCCTGTTAAACGTGAGCAGCTAATTACCACGTGAAGTATATCGAAATGCCTTCTAAAATTTAATTCTACCTTTTTTTATATTTTCTAAAGCAAGATTTCATGATTGTATCATGATTCGGCTGGATAACAGGAAAATTGTTTTTAAAAATTTTAGAACATATAAAAAAATTAGTTTAATGTTCAAAAAATGATCCCGTTCTACTCTTAATGGACAATCATGAAAGCCATTGTTTCTTAAATGCTATCAATTATTTTCTACGTGCCAGAATGATTGGCTTTTATCAAATCCGGGAAAACAATAACAATACATAATTTACTTGGCATATTTACACTAGTGTATACCACTACATATATTGCCAGGAATATTATTTCTGGTTTTACCACGCCTGGAATATAATCTTTTTCACAAAACGCTTTCTGTAACAATGACATAGAATAATGACTTTAAATAGACAATGAC